TCTGGTAACCATCGGTTTTTTCTCTATCCTTAAGAGTCTGTTTTGTGATTTGTCTCTCTCTCTTTCCATTGTTCTTTCTCTGTTCCATTGTTCTTCTGATTTTTCATTATAATTTTGATGTGTTTTCTCTTTTGCTATTTTTTCTCCTATTGTTGAGATGTGTACAAGCAGTTCCTGACTCCTTTACCCAGCCAACAGATCATACTGACTACTCAAAACTAATTCACTGCAGTGTCCCCTCTGAACTCTACAACAATGGCCTTCTGTAATAGCTACACGTAGGGACAGATAGGGACCAATTTCAATGCATGGGTAGGGACAGCTCTACAACCCCTGTCACCTTGAAGAAGTTACAGAATATGAGCCCTTCACCCTTCAACAACCTTAAATATTTATGGACAGAAAATTGGTCAGGGGTGAAATGATGAGGAACAGAAACAGTAAAATGCTCACCTTAAGCCCAAAGAGCTGACCTATAGCCTGCATAGTTTTGATAAGAATCAAATGTAGTTGATTGCTACATTCTTAAAGGGTCTCATGACTGCCTGTACATCTCACCTATAGTTAATATTGAACTGAATGATAAGCAACAGAGAAATTTTGCAAAAGTAGTTTTACAAGTAGAAATTTGAAGAAACATTTATGATCTAATACTTCCTGCATGACCCCACCCCCTGAGGTCTAAGCATATAACCACCAGCTTTATGCAACCAAAGTGCAACTCTTTCTGCCCAGGGGTCCTGTCCCCCTGCTACTTGAATAAACTTACTAAGCTGCATCTTAAACATCTCAAGAATTCTTTCCCACCGGATGCACTGAGTGATCACACAACAATTTTGTTACCAAAAAAAAGACAAAAAACCAAGATTGGCTGCAGGTTGTTCCAAAAGCTAATACTCAAGACACGAGTTTTGACTGGAAAGAAGTATGAGGTTTATTCAGGAGGCCAGCCTGAAAGAGAGAGAGACAAATCACAAAACAGACTCTTTTTTTTTTTTTTTTTAAATTTTGACAGAGAGAGAGAGACAGCAAGAGAGGGAACACAAGCAGGGGGAATGGGAGAGGGAGAAGCAGGCTTCCCGAGGAGCAGGGAGCCCGATGTGGGGCTCGATCCCAGGACCCTGGGATCATGACCTGAGCCGAAGGCAGACGCCCAACGACTGAGCCACCCAGGCGCCCCCACAAAACAGACTCTTAAGGATAGAGAAAAAACCGATGATTACCAGAGGGAAAGTGGGTTGGGTGAAGGGTTAAACACATGATGGGAATTAAGGACTGCACTTGTGATAACCACTGGGTAATGTATGGAATTGTTTAACCACTATATTGCACAGCTGAAACTAATATAACACTTTATGTTAACTAACTGGAATTAGGTAGAGGAAGAAGGTAGAGTCTTATCCAAAAACCAACTCCAAAGTTTCAGCCTGTCCCAAAGATTTTTTTTTTCTTACAAATGAGTTTTATTTGCATTTCTGACCTAAGCACAGACCCCACATACAGATTTCTCATCCAAAGATTTTTAAGGGAACTTGAGGCCAGTAATTGGTAAAAGAGGAGAATGGTAGTCTCTAGCACTTCTTGGTTCCTGCAGACTCAGTGGTGTCAGCTACAGACGTTATTGTGGTTCTTGGAGGTGATGCATTGGTGCCCCAGGGACAGGTTATGCAAGAGGATTCCCATCCAAGTCTTTCTGGGAAGCAATACATGACCTATAGATATACAAAGAGGTTTGGTTTATCAATCACACACGCTAAAGGTGCATGCTAAAATTTAAAGACTACTAAGTTGGGCAAAGGGGCCCGGGCAGGGCTTTTATGTAACTTAAAAAAAGGTCCCCTAGGTTTATTCTGTTGCTGCAAGTGGAAGGATTTCCTTCTTTTGTGAGGTTGATTATATACCCAGAATGAATTAGATGGCAGACCTCTATCAGTAATATAACAAATATCAGACATTAACTTTTTATATTATAAAGAGTTGCCTGCCTGGTGTTGCAAACTATTGTTTGACAAAATTTGCTCTTTCCTTTTTCCTGTGAATATGCTTACCCCCTTTTGAAATTCTAAATCCTTACACTCAAGAATTCTTAAGTCACAGTGGCATGTAAGCATCAATTTCCTGTGGTTGAGCCTCATATTTTTGAGGTTCCCATAATTAAGAAATTATTTTTTCTTGTGAATCTGTCTTACATCAATTTAATTATTAGACTGGCCAAAGAATTGAGAACAGATGAAGAAAAATGGATTCCTCTCCTAACATTCCTTCTGTTGTTGAAAACTGACCTTCGTGTTTCAGACCCAAAATATAATGTGAAGACAGAGTTGGGGATAAAAAGGAACAATAGCTTTATTGCTTTGCTAGGCAGACGAGGCTGCCGCAGTTCGGGGCCTTCAAAACTGCAAGCCCACCCAGAGGAAGGGGTTGGGAGTTTTGTAGGGAAATGCAGGACCTAGCCGGTTTCGACAGTAATTGTGTTTGTGCTTCCAGCCTTATTTACCAGGTTTTCAGAGTGGTACTGGATTCCTGGGGTGGGGGTGGGGGGCAGAGAAGCCGGAGAAAGGGGGAGGGGAAGGTTGCTGAAGAGAGGAAAAAGGGTATTTAGTTTAATATCAAGCCTTGCTGACATTTTAATGCAGCCATTTTGATTTTTGTTCAACATTATGCTTTTAAGTGGTTTCACTTTGAGTCACCAGAATAACTGTATTAAGACCACTTCATATTTTATAATGGGCAATCACTCAGTATTTTCTAGAATGGCTAAAATAAAGGAAAAGGATAACACCACATTTCTGTGAAAATATTGAGGAACTAGAATTCTCTTATATTGTTGATGGGAGTGTAAAAAGTACATTCAGTTTGGGAAACTGTTTGGCAGTTCCTTAGGAAAATAAACATTTGCCTATTTAAGAGGAGCATTTTACCATCCCAAAATAACGTGTCTTTGTCATAAGGATTATTCTATGTTGGTTTTTTTTGTTTGTTTGTTTTTGTTCTTTTTGGTTTTTGAGGGAGAAATTGTGAGTGAGCTGGAGGGGGGGAGGGGGGAAGAGAGGAGAGGGAGAGAATCTTAAGCAGGCTCCTTGCTCAGCAGAGCCCGACCTCATGACCCTGAGATCATGACCTGAGCTGAAATCAAGTCTGACTCTCATCCAACTGAGCCACCCAGGCGCCACTAGGCTGTTATTTTAAAGAAAAGGCAGACAAAGGAAAAGCTCTGAAACCCAGTATGTTTACTTTTGTAAGAGATATTTGCATTTATGAGGGAAAGCTCCATTTGTAAGGGTGTCTCCCTCTGCTTAGCAGAAACAGGGAGAATGTATAAATCTCCAGAAACTCTGATCAGTGGAAAAGGCATGGATTTAAATCCGGATAACAATCATAGCCCTGGTTGCTGTCCTTTGCCTGGTCACCTCCCCCAAATGCTTCCCAATAGGATCACGTGTGGAATTTCAAAACCGATCATTGCTTGTGCCCTCCTCCTCAGATTCTGTCTATTGGTGTGGGTGGAAAGGATAGTGTCGTTTTAATTAAGGGCTCCAGGTAATTCTAAGTGAGGCCAGGATTAAGCACGAGGGCTGCCCATTAATTTATGAGAGTTGAGTATAGTTTTTGGTGCAAGGAGAGGCAACAGGGTCTCTGCTACATGAGTCTGGGAGGGTCAGATCCTTGCAGCTCACAGTTCCTATGCTGTAGCTGAATTTGTGGGCGTCAGTGGGAGGGGAGGCCCCCTGAAAGCAGAGAACGAAAAGTCAGGGATTGGTCTCCAAGTAAGAGCTCATAGTTTCTGAAAGGCTCCTGACACAAAGGACTAGGAATTTGGGCCTTTTCTGCATTTCAAAGTCCTGCTGTCAGGCCGAGCAGTTTAGAGGTGCAGAGGCTCTGTTGGTGGCTTTAAAGGCATTTTCTCCTGATGCAGCTGTGATTTCTCTACGAATCTCCTCTGAGAAAGAAATCTAGAGGACAACATGAAAGAAGAAGAAATGGCAAGTTCTCAGGTAAGCCTTGCGTTCCAAGTCAGATGGCGCGTCATGTTTTTCTCCTGAGATTCCATTCATTTAAAAATTGCAGATATTGATTCCTCTAGTTGTGATGTTTCTGCTTCACGTTTTCCCCTAATTTTAAAACATTTTCAAAAAATGACTCAAGATTAAGTCTTTAGAACACTTCCCCCCTATATTCCAGAGCCTTCTCTCCCTTCTCTCCAACCTGTCTTTCAATAGTCTATCAACAACTGTCCCTTTGAATTAAAATCCTGCAAATATCATAAATATTCCCTTAGTGACAGACCCACAGAGGACGGCGTTGAATCCAAGATTCCTATTGCTGATGGGCTCTGGCCTTGGATATCAGTCAAGGAAAACATTTCTTATTAGGTTCCATCTGGATGCTTTATGAGCTCTGTGTAGACCAGGAGTAAGAAATTGCATAAATAAACACAATGGATATGAGATCCAGAATAACTCAGAAAGTTTTAGAAAAAAAAGGGGAGGCTTGCTCTTTAGAATGTGAAAAAGATCCTCTATTTAAATGTACTAGCTATTACAGGACATGGAAACCTTGTGTGATTGAACTTTGTATAAATCCACTGTATTCTCATAATACAATTTATATTCTGATTTACTGTTCCCGGGGCACAAGAACACACCATTAATAATAGGTCCTTCAGTGTGCCTAAGGCACTGATGTCAGTTTGTTTCCTTACAGCTCATGTTACCTTCTTTTACTTCGGTTGATGCTCTCTGACAGTTTTCTCCCCTATGAAGTTTGTATTCTCCCCCATTACCATTCTTAAGGATCTTAGATGGATTTACTGAGCGATATGCAGAAACTATCACATTTAAAGTGGAAACTTCTTCCTTCTGAATTTCTCTTGCTTCTAGTTTCTGTTGAGAAGGAAGGTAAAAGAAATGTAGATAAACTGAAATTCAACTTCCAGACCCTTGATATATACTTGAGACAGGCAGAATATGACATTCCATCAGGAATTCATGACTGCCTTAATGCTTTGCTAGAAGCAAAAAGGAACCAGCTTGATAATAGCCAGACCTCCAGGATCCTGTAAGTCCTCTTTAACATATGAAAATCCCTGCAGAAACTTCCTTTATTTCTACCCCCCAACTTAAAACTATATTATCAATGGCTTCTCGCAAGGACAGTGAAGGTCTTTCTCCCCAGGGGTCCTGTCCCTGCGCTTTAATAAAAACAGCTTTTTGCACCAAAAATGTCTCAAGAATACTTTCTTGACCCTTCACATCACTTTCCACTGGACAATGAAGACTGTCACCTTCATGTAGCAGAGAGAATGATTTCTAGGACTAGAGGTTCTAAGACCTCCATCTTCTAAGTTTTTATTTTACTCCACACTTAGGTTACAGAGTTACCTTCTATTTATTTCTTTGTATTTTCAGGCAAAAAAAAAAAAAAATACAAGAATCACTTAATTAACATGTTTGAGTGTATTAAAATCCTGAAGTATAATAGAGTCACAGACAGAAACTACACTAGATGGGCTTGTGACACAAAGGAAACTTGATTTTTAGCCAATAAGGAGATCACAAGAAATAACTTCAAAACAGAGACTCATAGAGCCAGTGGGGACAGTTTCCTTTTACTTAGGGTTCAGATGGAAATTCAGCAGGAGGGGCTTCATCATCTTATATAGAGCTGCGCATATGGTTACACATGCACATGAAGACAACACTTGTATACATACTTTGTATGTTATGAAAATGGTGTTTGTGCTGCTCCTTCCATGGAGATTTTCATATTGTAATGAGGTAAAGTAACTGTTGGTCACTCCATGGGTTACTCCTTGCTTCATCTACACAGGTATGACTCAGGGGTTAAGTTCAAACTGGTCAGGCCCAAGTGCTTCCTCACAGCAGTCATAACTTTTTGTTGGATAGTTTCTGTCTCCAACACAGGAGACTCTGCCCATGGGGTCTTTTGATTGAAGTAAAAGATAAGGTGGAAAGAGGAGGTTAAGTAAAACGTGGGATAAAAGTTGGTGGGTATAAACAGGTGAGCAGTGAAGGTCAGGTCTTGGGGTCTAGCTGGTGACATTAACACCCTCTTTCATCTTAGGGAGCATTGTGAACTCTGCCAGTGGCCACTTGGTAACTGTCGTATTTATTGCAGGGACTGCTGACATTCAGGGATGTGGCCATAGAATTCTCCCAGGAGGAGTGGGGATGCCTGAACCACACTCAGCGAGAATTGTACAGGGATGTGATGTTAGAGAACTACGGACACCTCCTCTTCCTGGGTGAGAATAACTCCTTCCAGATTTCCCAAACCACACTCAGGGTTTTGTTCCTTCCTTTGAAGACTGTGTATTAGAAGATTCCTCTTTGAATGTTGGGAATTCAGATCCAGGCAGTAAGGGAAATAAGTAGGGGTTTGTAGATGTAGAGAAAAATCTTCATGGTTTAGCTTCCCGTTCCTTAAGAGAACATCATCACTTCTGTAGATGAATGCCAGTTGTAAACAGTGAGTGGCAAAAAATGGTACTGCCCACATCTTAAACTGAAATTTTAAGTCCTTATTATTGTATTGGTAGTACTTGAAAGTGGAGGTCATGATGTGAAAATTTGAAACTTCTCCTACATGTTTAGTGGGGCTATTGGTCAACAGTGTTTGGGAAATCATTTTCTAGAATTCTACAATGTCCTCTCTTCTCCACTGAGCACAGTAGTGGATTGAAAGAATCTCCAGTAATACTCCTATTCGTTTTTTCTATTAAACAGGTCTCGTTGTGTGGAAGCCAGACCTGGTCATCTTTTTGGAGCAAGAGAAGCAGCTCTGGGATGTGAAGAGAAAGGAGACCGTAGCCTTCCATCCAGGTAGGTGGGAATGGATGAAGCAGATGACAGAGGTGAGGTCCAAATGTGAATGATGAAGACAGACCTTAAAATGTGGTTCAAGTAGCTCTCCTTGAATGGAAATTTGAGAAGCCTAGAGTTATTTCTCTCCCTCTCACAGAGGGACATCGGCTATCCAACATTATCAAGCTCTTACATTCTCTAGGGATTCTCCTTCAGCTCCAGTGATGGTCCATCACATCCACAGGGAGGGCCAAGAGACTCTCCTTGGAGTGGGAGGGCCTCCACAATCTGATTGTTTCTCCATTGCTGTGAGGGCCTGGGGGAAATCTCACTATTTCTGAGTATCTCTATGCTAAGCCCTTTGTAACTTCTGTTTTGCCTTTTGTGAGAAGTGTGTCAGGGTAGTGGTGGGCATATTGTGGTTTGGTGTAGGAATCCCAGAACACTAGAGACAGATATCAGATGTTTTTTGGTTTATGCTTTTCAGTGTTATGGAGGCTTTAATCTTTTTCGTACATAATGGACACTCAGTAAGTTCATCAGATAACAAAACACCTTCCTAAAATGGAAAGTCTACTCCTTTATTTCACTATAAAAGTTCATTTTTCTTTATATCAACTAAAATTAGAAATTTTATGTAATCCATTTCTCAGTAGTGAAATAATTTAATGTATCTATTTGAATCCTAAAATTTCTATGTAAATTAATGCCATTGGGGAGCTAGAACATTTAGAACTCAGAACTTGCAGGCTATAATAAAGTCTGAATTGTTACCTTGTTTATTTATAATCACATCATTTTATAATTTTGTATGATATGAAGTTCTTTGACTTTGTGAAGTGTGTTTTCACTTTATTAGCTATATATCAGATTCATCTCTGAATTTTTTACATGAAAATTTGTGATATGAAATGGGCATTTCCGGGCGCCTGGGTGGCTCAGTTGGTTAAGCGACTGCCTTCGGCTCAGGTCATGATCCCAGGGTCCTGGGATCGAGCCCCACATCGGGCTCCCTGCTCAGCAGGGAGTCCGCCTCTCTCTCTGACCCTCCCCCCTCTCATGTTCTCTATCTCATTCTCTCTCTCTCAAATAAATAAATAATAAAAATCTTTAAAAAAAAAATGGGCATTTGCTTAGAAGAATTGTGGATAACTAGGAAAATTCCCATATTTAAAAAAAATCGTGTTTATAAATTCAATTTTATATTTACAGGAAAAATTAACCATTAGTCTTTTCTTCTGCTTTCCTGAGAATATATCTGAATTTAATCCCAAATATTTATTTTTTATAAAGTGATTGCTGGCACATTTTACAATTTTCATGTTGTTTTCCATTTCAAAATGAAAGGTTTTTGTTTGGGTGCTTGGTTCTAAAGAATGGATTATAGCCTTGCATTCTGTGTAAGAGGAGGGATATATTAATAACATAATACATTTTTTAATGTCTTTTATGTACGTAGTCATAAAATTTTCCATTAGAGTTCTTTATGTTTGTATTAATGAATGTTCTTTACAAGCTTACTGCCAATGAAAGCATGTTAATAATTCAAAATGCCTGTTTTTCATCAGGACACAGTCACAGTTTGAAGTTATAGTTACGTAGAGGGTTTCCTTTTAAAAATTTACCTATTTTTCAGATAGCAGGAAGGGAAAAATGAAGGGGGGGAAATCGGAGGGGGGGACGAACCATGAGAGACTATGGACTCTGAGAAACAAACTGAGGGTTCTAGAGGGGAGGGGGGTGGGGGGATAGGTTAGCCCGGTGATGGGTATTAAAGAGGGCGGGTACTGCATGGAGCACTGGGTGTTATACGAAAATAATGAATCATGGAACACTACATCAAAAACTAATGATGTGGGGCGCCTGGGTGGCTCAGTCGTTAAGCGTCTGCCTTCGGCTCAGGTCATGATCCCAGGGTCCTGGGATCGAGCCCCACATCGGGCTCCCTGCTCCACAGAGAGCCTGCTTCTCCCTCTCCCACTCCCCCTGCTTGTGTTCCCTCTCTCGCTGTGTCTCTCTCTCTCAAATAAATAAAATATTAAAAAAAAAACTAATGATGTAATGTATGGTGATTAACATAATAAAATTTTTAAAAATTTCAAAAAAAATTTACCTATTTTTTACATTGAAATTTTTTGGTTACATTTTGCCTTATTCTGGTTCCACAATTCCATAATAATGTGCTTCTTTTTGTATGGGACCTTCCACAACATTATTTAGTTGTGGTATCATTTTTATCTGTGTATCTTATTATAGCATGACAATCGTCAACTTCGTACAATTCAAGACAGTGTGAGTTTAACTTAAATATGAATCAGCTTTATGCCCTTTACTTATTATGTATATATTTGTACAAATACCAGCCATACATATTTGATTGTGACTCATCTTGTGTATTTCTTTCATTGGTTAGTGTTCAGTGAATATTGTATCGTGTAGGTGAATTGTCATAATAATATAATTAATTTCATCACCCCTTCTGAATGTATATTCTCTTTGCATGAGAGAAACACTTTCTATGAATTGATAGCAATTTTTAAACAGTTTATACCTCTATCATGTTTACATATTAAATTTTATCCTTAATTGTGGTGTTATACCCATAATATTCTTTGACTTCATTCTCATTAACTTTTGTGTCTTCTGTACCTATTTTCATTGTGGTTACCTTGGAAATTGCTTAAAATATGTTAAAGGCATAACAAACAATTTTAAACTGATATTGTCAATTGCATAGAAAACTCTTCTACTTATCATCTCCACCCCTGCACCCACTTTATGTTACTGGTATCACAAATTCTATCTTTTATGTTGTGTACTTATTTACCCAGATTTATTATTTTTATGCTTTTATTTTTTAAAAAATTCTGTAGCAGAAATAAAAGTGATTTGTGCTACCTCATTACAGTACTATAGATTACTGTAATTGTGTAAATATTTATGTTTAGCAGAGAGCTTTATGTTGTCATGTGGTTTCAGTTACTGTTTAGAATCCTTTTATTTCACCTGGAAAGACTTCCTTTAATGTTTCTTGTAGGACAGGTCTTCTGGTAAACTTAGGGGGGGTTTTTTAATTAAGAAAGTCTTCATGTGGAAGCCTGGGTGGCTCAGTTGGTTGGGCGACTCCCTTCGGCTCAGGTCATGATCCTGGAGTCCCGGGATCGAGTCCCGCATCGGGCTCCCTGCTCGGCGGGGAGTCTGCTTCTCCCTCTGACCCTCCCCCCTCTCATGTGCTCTCTCTCATTCTCTCTTTCTCTCTCTCTCTCAAATTAATAAATAAAATCTTTAAAAAAAAAAAAAAAGAAAGTCTTCACGTCTACATTCATGGAAATCAGTTTTGCCAGATAAGAGTATTCTTGGTGATTATTTTTTGATCTTTCAGTACTTGAATAGATTGTCCCTTGCACTTTTTCCTATCAGGTCTGCTGTGAATCCCGCTCCTAACCTTACAGGAGCTCTCTTGTACAAGATGAGTTGCTTTTGCCACGCTGTTCCAAAATTCTGTTTTCACTTGTGATTTTCTGTAGGTTAATTATCAGTGTCACTTGTATTCATGTCTTAACATGTATCCTACTTTAAATTTACTGAGCTCGTTGCATTTGTCCCTTTTTTCCACATACGTGGGAAGTACGAGTCTTTAGTTCTTCATGTAAATCCCTCGTCCCTTTCACTCTTCTCTCCTTTTGGGGTCCCCTTAATGTATATATTGGTCCATTTGTTGATGTTCCACGAGTCACTTAGACTCTGTCCTTTTCCACATTTTCTTTTGTCCTCTCAGTAGATAATTTAAAACAAAGCATCTTTAAGTTGTCTGATTCTTTTTCTGCTTGATCAAATTTGTGACCGACCCTTTGTTGTGTTTTTAAATTCAGTGATTATATTCTTCAGCTCCCAATTTCTGGTTGATTGTCGTTATATTTTCTGTCTCTTTGGATTTTTATTTTGGTCATGCATGGTTTTCCTGATAACATTTAGTTACACTACCCATTTTCTCTTCTTTCTCCATTAGCATCTTTGTGATGGTTATTTGATTTCTGTGTCAGGCTATTAAGAGTTCTTTGTTAATTTAGGACCAGTAATTTTGTTTCTCTGGTTGGAACATATTTTTCTATTTCTTTGTATGCCTTGTGATCTTTTGTTGAAATTAGATAATTTTTAAAAAAGAGAAAAAAGCCTCCTAGCCATGTATTCTGAACTTGGTTTCTACAGGAGAACAGATATATTAGTAATTTCAGGGACCTGTCAGACATATTCTATATTCTGTCCATTTATATTGTCTCAATTTTTGTAATTCCCCAGTTTAAAAAAATGTAGTTCATGGGGTGCCTGGGTGGTTCAGTCGTTAAGTGTCTGTCTTCAGCTCAGGTCATGATCCCAGGGTCCTGGGATCGAGCCCCACATTGGGCTCCCTGCTCGGCGGGAAACCTGCTTCTCCCTCTCCCACTCCCTCTGCTTGTGTTCCCTCTCTCTCTGTCTCTCTCTCTCTGTCAAATAAATAAATAAAATCCTAAAAAAAAAAAACTGTAGTTCATATTAGAGCCCATGGTAGCTTCCTCTCTCTGTCCTCAGCTATGTAGTCTCTCCATTGTTTGAACAAATTGCTCACCTTTTCTCTGAGCAACCATTACAGGATATTCAGAGGGTGCTCCCTTTCCTTCTGCCTTCCATGTCATGCATGACAAAAACTATTCCAGCAGGTAGCAGGAAAGAAGCCAGACCAATGAAGCCTTGAACATACAGGTCACTCATTTGTTTGTCTCCTGAGGGGAGGTAAGAGTTTTCTCACAGTGTTGCCATGGAGTGTCAGGGAGGGTGAGCAGCTTTTGTGGTCAAGTGTCACAAACTTTCCTTGTCTCTTCCATGTGTCTCTTCATTTGTGCTTACTTGGGGGTGCTGTGTTCTAAATGGCTTCTGGAGCACTCTAAAAGGTAATTTGGTCCATTTTTGTCTCCATGATGGAATAAACCCTGGTACTTCCTTTTCCTCCATTGATGATGTACTATAGTGTTTATTAATTT